GAAGATGAAGAGTGAGATGAGTCTGGAGCTGAGCAGTGCCAGGGCAGGCAGGGCTTGGAAGACAATGGCAAGAACTAGGTAGGCTTTCTCCTAGGAGTGATGGGAAGGTATAGAAAGGTTTAATGCAGGAAGGATGACGTGAATACATCTGTCTTACCAAGCAGATGAAGCAAATATTTTCTGAGGGTCAACAGGATCTACTGTGTAGCTTAAATCCCAAAAAGCCCCTGTCGTCTCTGATTTGTCAACAGAGCAAGTGATTAAATTGGGGCCCACAACCACACCTACAACTTCACTCCAATGGTTACACAGCTACATACTAGTGCTCCTCAGGGTATAAATGCCATTCCCAACAGCAGCAACAGAGAATATGCTCAGAGAAAAGCGACACAGATTAACTCTGGCAGTTATTTGGCTCATTTTTCAGAATCTGTCTTAAAAACAACAGTATTATTTAGCAGCCAAAGAGGACAGAAAATCCTGGCAACTGGCAAAATCATGGTTGGACCTATAGCAATCATGCCATGCTTAGTAGCACTGCCCTTTGAATACCTTTTTTTTTCTATGATCTGCATAGGAACATCTGTGTTTACATCAGGGAATCTGAAATACAGGCACAAAAGAAAAATGACTAAATAGAATTAAAAGAGCCAGAATCACAGTTTGATATGGCATCTAATAGCAAAGAGGGGCCAACCCACATGACTGGGAATTACAAAATGGGTAAATACAAGGGAATAAAAATAAAACCCAACTTTGACAATAAAGAAAAACTCTTGCCTATTAGCAGTGCATTTATATGCCTGGTGTGTCCCATTTCTCCTCTTCAAAACTTACGTGCTTATTCAGAAAAATAAGGAGAAACAGTGGCATAACAAGATAAGCAATGATAGAGGGTCACTCATCTTTTAGCCTGTGGCAGCTCCTGAAATTCCTCAGTTGGGAAGGCACTGGGATGTACAACAGAAACCCCTACCGAGAAGAATTCTGATAATTTGCATGATCCTTTGCTAGAGTTTGCATTTTTCTGATAGCATCACCATCACTTTACCCCTTTAACTTGTTCACAAAGTATAAAGTATATGATATCTATAGTAGAAAAATTTAGATGCAAGTTTTATTTAGACATAGAAAAAAAAAATCTCCCTCTTCACAGATTGCTTTAAAGCACTTAAAGTCAATATTTTTATAAGTTTAAGTAAGCCTTCCTATATAGGTAGTCATATTCTTGTTTTTGTTTTTTGAGACAGGGTCTCTCTCTGTTGCCCAGGCTGGAGTGCAGTGGCAGGATTTCAGCTCACTACAGCTTTGACTTACCAAGCCCAAGCGATCCTTCTACCTCAGCCTCCTGAGTTGCTGGGACCACAGGCACATGCCACCACACCTGGTAGTATTTCTATTTTTCTATTTTTTGTGGAGACGGGGTTGTGCCATGTTGACCAGGCTGGATTCAAATACCTGAGCTCAAATAATCTATCCACTTCAGCCTCTTAAGGTGCTGGGATTACAGGCATGAGCCACTACACCCGGCTGAAGTCATAAAAAATGGATTGACTTGACGATAAAAAAAATCTTTGAAGTTTTAAATGATGTAAAAGAGAGACAACCAAATATTTTAAAACCAACAACAAACAGGGAGATAAGAATAATTCTGAAGTTATAGTAAAACAATTAATTAATTTTGGTCTTCTGAGTTTTAGATAGTATCTATCATTGAAGCTATCACACCATCTCCTAATAGTCTTGCGAAATAAATGGTGTCAAGTATAGCTAACCTGGGAAGGTTAAGGAGGGGTGAATATTATTCACTCTTTTAGCTTTGGGAGCTCAGAAAAAGATACCCAGAAGGGAAGGCCTCAGAAGTCCTTTCTCTCTGACCTTCTCCTGCCTCCTATCTCTGGCTTCTCATTCTCCCCAAGGCAAGCCATAGACACTAAAATTCCTCTTCCCCAAAGCAGATCATAGAGACAGACTCCTTTTTCCCAAAAGCCATCCATAAAGCCTGAAAATATTACTCTAACCTTCTCTCGTTTTTCTGTGTGACAGCTGTCATAAAGAAATTAAGATTCCCATTCCAAAGGAGTCCTACCTCATACCTGGAAGGAAGAAATGCTACCACAGAGAGGCTAAGAAGAATCTGGACAGGCCTTGCTAGGTTTCCTCACTGAGGCCGCTAACATTAAAGCACACTCCTTTTGTTCAATCACAATTCTATGGCTGCCCGTTCTTGATTAAACCTAAGAATAAATATGGAGTTTTCCCTAGTATTGTTAGGATTTCATTCAGAAGGCTACTGTGTCATCTAAAAGTTTAATTAAATACATCTATAATGCTCTTCTCCTGTTAACCTGTCTTTTTATATCGGCGTGATAGCCATGACCCTTAAGATGCAGAAGAAAGGGATGGTACCCTTTCCACTGCTACATGGCTTCATGGATGTGTCTTGTACAGAAGCCTGCACCACTTACAAGGTCCCTATGCTTGATTTAATGCTGTGCTGTCAACATCTTTAATTTTTTTAATCAATTTTTGAAAGAGGTCCTGCATTTTCATTCTGCAGTGAGTCCTGAAATTATGTACTGGCCCTGTACTCACTGTTCTACAAAATGCCTATCTATCTACAAAGCAGTAAGTTTTGTGACAAAGAAGAATACAAAGATACTTAAGAAATAACCCTAGTCCTAAAAAGCATATAGTCCAGAAGCAGAAATAAATTTAGTAGTCAAATTACAATAAAACAAAGCAGACAATAAAACAAGTGGCAGAGATGAAGCTCCAGAAGAGGGAAGAGGTGACTTCTCAGTGTAATAAGGTAAGTATCTGTGGAAAGGCAGCTTATAGTGGGATCCAAAAAGCAGAGAAGGATTTAAACACCGACAGTGATGAAGGAGAGAGGCAGGAAGAGAAAGAGTGTGCTGTGAAAAAGCACAGGGAAGGCATGGGTACATGGAATTGTTTGGTTTGCAGGAAGTGAGAAGAATCCAGGCTGAAAAATCTTGCTGGTTTTGGCTTCAGGAGGGCCTTGAATGTCCAGCTAATGAGGTAAATAATGCAACAGGAACTGTGAGCCATTGAAAAAAATGGTGGAGAGAGAACTAGTTGGTCACAGTTGTAATTTAGGAAGATTAAATCTGGCCTCAGGCAATGATGGTCATCGTGTCACCTCTCTGGACTCCAAGCCCAGTCCTATGTTCACAAACAATGTGAACTTGATGTTTTATGGAATAGCCAGACGGAAAGTGACATCCAAGTCAGCATTCACTGCTTTTTTATTCAGCCAGTTAAACTCTGCTAGCTCTATTCTGACCAAACAAAAAATGTTCACTTACTGTGTAGAGCCAATTTTATTGTTTAAGATTTGAATTTGAACACATACACAGGTACACGCACACAGAGGGAAGCACCTCCATCTCCTGAAATAGTGCCGCTAGAAAGAGTTCTTGTTAGACGCATTTCGGATAGCATTGGCACTCAATCCATTTTCTTGGAAAAACAAACTTACAGAAGCTAAAATCAGCATCATAAGTGTCCAATGCTTAAGTATGTGAGATGAATAATGGACTGTATTCTATAGGTAAGCATTTCATTGATTACCAGTTGTGATCTTTATTAGAGCTGCACCAGAAGAAATCAATAACTCTTGAACTTTAAAGCTTGAAATGAATATTCATTCTCTCTGTCTCTATCTTTCATCATATACACACATATACACAACATATGTACAGATATATATGTAACACATACATACATATATATCTTACCCAATATAGAAGACACCTGAATAATTTAATTTCCTTGAAAACTATATTAAATTTCAAATTGGAGTTTACATTTCAACCTCTTCTAAGTGTTTCATCCAATCACATTGAGAAAAAATATATCAGTACCCTGCTGACAGTAATTTTTCAATATATTATTACTTGACATCAAATTAGAATTGTATTATCCCTTTAGCATGAATATAAAATGACTTATATGGAAATAAACAATGTATAAAAGATAAAGCAAAAGAAAAATACATTAACCACAAGAAATATTCAAGTAAGGAATATCAAAAATTCATTAGGAAAATTCGGTAGATACCTATTAAAATGTATCACTAAAACAAAATGTGAATTTGACTTTTTAGCTTCATTTTAACAATTTATTCACCAAAAACAAAAACCAAAACAAAAAAGTTAAATATGTTCTCAAAAAGAAATCTTAATTAGCATTATGCTCATTAAATGCTCATCTAATTTGTGTATTACTATTTAATAATGGTTCTGCTTTCAAAAGAAAAGTAATTTTAAAAATAAGTGCTTTTTAAAAAGTCATGAGAATTGTCAGTATTCTTTTCAATTATAAGATAATATATTTTCTTTAGAATAAACTTAGAGACAAAGAAATTCATTTCAGTGAATATCAATGTATTTCTAAGAAATAAAAAGCTGGTTTTTATTCTAATTTCCATCCTATATTGAGTTATCATGATAATATATAACATAAAGGAAAGGAAAGCTTTTGATATTTCAGAACTATAGCATAAAATAAATTTTATTTGGGAAATTAAGCTCAGGATTAAAGGATAATAAGCTATTTCTTAGAACTTTTCCATCTTAATTATCTGATCTTTCATATGGAAACTCACAAGAGATGACTCAGCCTGACAGTGTGAGTCTATTTAGAAGAGGTGTCATAAATACATTAACCAATAAATAGTTGGAGATGAATTCAATATCCTTTTTTTGTTCAAGCACATTTATTTCTCTGAGTTGCTCAGTTCTATGAGAAAATGGCTGAATATATGTCATGAAACTCTGAAGTTCTGACTTAACCATTTGCCGTGTAAACTGACACCAGAAATATAAAGAAACTTGTTCAAAGTCTTACATCACATCTCCACAGATTTGTAGACTATTATGATTGAGAGAAAGGCAAAGTCTTCAGGGTGCTGCATTTCAGAAAATAGGGCTAAACGGAAAGTAAACACTCTCACAAGAGAAAAGAAAGCATCTTACCTTTTTAAAAATTCCATATACTCGGTATGCTTGATGAGTCCTGTCCTCATCATTATTGTTTGAAAACATTGTCGATCAATGGCCCAGAGTTTCACATTTACAAGAGCTGGAGAAAAATAAAAGAGAAACAAACATGGAAAAATTAATTAGAGAATTTCAACTGTGAACAACATCCTGCAAAAGAGATGAGTTATTTATGAGAAGCATGAAAACGATGAACTTTTAACACACATTTAAAGCTAGTATCACGATGCTGTCCTATTTCATTAAAAAGTCCTGTATGTTTACAGGCAAAATGTAGTTCATAATTTTCCATACTAGCATTATTATCTACTAGAAAGATTCCTATTGCCCTTGCTTTTATGTCTCTTAGGGGTTGACAGTGTATAAGCACACACAGCAAGTATTTAGAAACTCAAAGCTATACATTAAGAAAATAGCGTGAAGAAAAAAAGACGTTCACAAGTAATAATAGAGCCTTGTAATTACCCAGCATGGTGTTAATGGCTCATATGACCATATTTTGATTATAAAAAGTAGAGGTAAAATTTCATTTTTCAGGCTTAGGGGAGAATTTACATAAGAGAAATAATAATTACACAATTATTTCCACACAAAGCTTGTTTTACAAATTAAAATCTGTGCCCAAAGTTGCCACATGGTAGTTTTATTAGACACGTTTGTTGAATTTTAATTTCTTCTCTTAACGCACCATCTTTTGACAGTGCATAATTAAATGCTGAAGCTGAATACCCCACAACTCAACCATTTTATCTGTTAAGCACATGACTAAGAGAAGTTTAAGAAAAAGACAAATGTTATAGTATATAGCAGAACAATCTATTATGATAAACTTATGTTTTCAAAGAGCACGTTAAAAATTTTGGTAATTATATTGGTATAATGGCATATGAGAGATTATTCTCTTTATTTTCATATATGTTTTCATATTGTCATGACAGAAAATATTTTAAGTTAGCAAATGCACTAAAAAAATATATATGTATTAGAGTCAGAGGGTGTGTGGTCTGAGGAAGATCTTTGAATAGGGCCAGGATATAGTTCATTGAGCCAAACATAAAAAGACAGAAGAATGCAATTCTCTCTGCTTCACAGTTCTCAAGAGTAAGCCCAATGAATGCGATGGATCATCATTTGGGAGTGAAGGAGGGAAAAAAAAAAGTAATCCGAGGAATTAGGACATGTGTGTGCCTTGTGGAGAGGAGCTAGAAGTAGTAACACACAAAGAAACAGGGGAGAAGGAAGATAAGAGGAATATTGTACTCCAGAGTAAACCCTATCTTTAAATCGTTCCTATTTTTTTCTTGCAAAATTTAAACTGTAAAACTAGAATATGACTGACTTCTCCCTTGGCCAACTCTATATTAAAGAAAAACAAAACATGCTCACTTAGGTAGAAATAGAACAAAGCATCCAGAACTTGTGTGTGCATGGCTCCATTCTAAATGTTTTTTACAAATGACACCTCATCAAAAACAAAGGTAGTACAGGTATCCTTCAGCCAGATTCTAATTCACCTGCTGCCTCCAGGCTTTTTTTCCACAATACCCTTTTACTTGAGACAAACAGCAAGACTAGATGATATAGCCACAAAGAACCTGGAAAATCAGGAAAGGATTCCTAAGAGTTATAACAGGAAGTGGGATCTTTAAAAATGGTAGGAGTTGAGGTACGAAAGAGGTAGACAAAGGGTAACTGAGTAGGGAAAGTACATAAACATCTGCAGCATTTTAAATCTGAGTCTGCACCTCAAGCCCAGGCATTGACCCTGGTCCCTCCCCTGTCCTATGAATTGCTGCTTTTTTCTATCTGTACTTCTCCCTAGTGCTTAGCATGTGTTAATACTGTTATGTCTCTCCTAGATCTATATCATATTTCCTTATATAAATTTATATATTCCTTCAGAGAAAAGTCCCTGTCTCATCTCTTATAATCTCTGCTACCCCACTAGAAATCAGCATGTCATTTGGTAGGCATTAGGTACATTTGTTAATGAACTTTATATACATGAAGTTCATCTGCAAAAAACCCACAAAATAATTTAAGCGTAGGTAGTGTCTGATGCTACATTAAAATATCTAAACTGAATGTATCAAATTTCATTATCTATGTGTCAAAAAATGACTTTTAAAAATAAATTGACAGAATTCAATAATTTCATTTTACTTTTTGGTTCCTATTTACATGGGCTATTAAAATGTCTCCAGGTCAAATTGTAGTTCACATATTTTCCATGATAAACATGACTTGAAGGAATTGCAAATTTGTTCATGACCTTGGGCATGATAGCAAAACCTTTTTTATATTTAGCCTTGCCCAACATACATATTAGTCAAGTCAGCTTTTTACGGATGGACAAGCATGACTAATAATCACCTTGCCTTATTATCAAATACATGGTTATATTAGAGTCGTGATTAACATCTTGCTTTTTAACTAGGCTGCTGAAGTGTAAATCTATTGCTTCCATAACTTACAGAGGCCATTCAAAAATATATCTCTTCATTCACCTTTGATCTTAAGTGATGTGTTAATCTCTATAGGGAATAAGCATTTCACAAATAAAATCCCTGTGATTTTCATGATCATTACTGTTGGACATTTAAGTCTAAAGGGTATGAAACAGACAGTGCTGTGAAGGGATTTTCCTTTTTATTCAAGTATATATCTAAAATTCTTTGCTGAAACATAAATCATTTTCTCAGGTTAAGGTAACCCACATCCCACTCAGTGGAAATAAACTCCCATTACTCTGAGACCTCTAAGTGCACAAGTACACTGAGAACAACTTCAACACAGGAAACAGTTGGTCTTCATTAAGGGGAAACCAAGATTACAGAGGAAGGAGCCATAAAATTGTTCTAGACTAAGAGACCACAAATCTGGATTTGGCTTAAGTTGTCCTATTGAGGAATTCATCTGTTGTTCAATTCACATTCTGGAAGAATACTGGGAAAGCAAATGTAAGTATAATATACTATAGACTCAAATATTTATTCAGCTCATATTTTATACCATTATGGCAAACACTGCTGCTAGATCTAAGGGATAGAAAACAAACTCACAACCCCTACCCTCAAGAAACTTGTGATCTAGTACAGAGGTGGACAAACTATTACCCATGCCATATCTGGCCCACGGTCTGTTTTTGTAGAGTCTACTGGCTAAGAATGGGTTTTGTATTTTTAAATCACTGAAAAACTTAAAAAGAAGCATATTTCGTGACACATGAGAATTGTATGAAACAAATTTCAGTGTCCATAAATAAATTTGTGTCCATAAAAGTCTTACTGGAACACGGCCATGCCTATTCATTTACATATTGTCTCTGGCTGAACTGAGTAATTGCAACAGAGGCCATATGTACTGCAAAGCCGAAAATATTTCCTATCTAGCCCTTTACAGAAAATACTTGCTGATTCTTGGTCTAGTATAAGGGAAAAACAAATGAAGAGATAATAAGTTTCTGGGGCTGTGAATACACAAACAAGGCAATGCATACTTTCTATTGGAGGAGCTGAGAAGAGATGATTAAAGAAGGCTTTGCAGAAAAGAATCATCTAAGCTAGGATGCTACACCCAAAGTTATGGACAGAATGTCTGTGCCCTCCCAAAATTCAAACGTTGAAGCCCTATCCCCAGTGTGATGGTTTCAGAAGGTGGTTGTCTTGGGAGGAGACCAGATTTAGATAACATCATGAGGGTAAAGCCACGTGAGGAAATTAGTGTCCTTAGAAAAAGAGGATCTCCCTCTCTGCATGCAAGCACCAAAAAAAAGGCCATGTGAGGACCTAACCAGGAATAGGAGCATCAGCAAGAAGCCAGCCTCTCTGGTACCCTGATCTTGGTCTTCTAGCCTCCAGAACTGTGAGAAATAAATGTCTGTTTTTTAAGCCATCCAGTCCATGGTACAGATGGTTCTTGATTTACGGTGGTTCCACTTAAAAATTTTCAACTTTGCAATGGTGTGAAAGTGATACACATTCAGTAGAAACTGTACTGCAGTACTCAATAAATTACATGAGATACTCAATATTTTATTATAAAATAGGCTTTGTGCTACATGATTTTTCCCAACTGTAGGCTGATGTAAGTGTTCTGTGCATGTTTAAGATAGGCTAGCCTAAGCAATGATGTTTGGTAGGTTAAGTGTTTAAATGCATTTTCAAGTTACAATGTTTTCAATTTATGCTGGGTTTATTAGGATATAACCCTATTCTAAGTCGAGGAGCAACTGTATTTGTTAAAATAGTCCAAACTGACTAAGAAACCTGGCATCCATGGAGCTCCAAAACATCTGTCAATGGAACTCAAGAAATTTTTGAACATGAGAGAGAAAAACAACACCTTTATTTTTACTACCTTATAACTGATATTTAGCATTTCTTTCTATGATTATAGAAATGTGAGCAACAAACCGCAATAGTGATTTGTTACCAATAGAAACAGTAGCTATTTTTATATCCTCCTATATTTGCTGCAGATATCTTAAATATAATTTACACTCATCACTACTTCGAAATTATGGCAGTTACTAGCTCTGCCTCTAGATCCTAGTCTTAATAAGTTATTATATCACAATTCGCCATTAAATGTTATCACTGTTATTTCAATATAAATGAATTTTTTGTTATCCTGTGTATTTAATTTTAAGTCTTTAAAAGTATTATTCTTAGAGGGATACATATGCTTCACCAAACTGACAAATAGGTCCATGACACCCACATAAAAGATTAAGAGCCACTGCTTTAAGCAAGTCCTGGAGGAAAAATTAGGCCAGAAAAAGAGGTAGTGGGAGTGGCAAAGGCAGGGGTAGTACTTAGCTGGTCTGTGTTCCTAGGGGCATGTCTGTTGCTAAAACATCAAAATACTTATATACTATTTAGTAAACAGCCATTTCCCTGAGTCCCCTGACAGCCTTTCCCCCAGTATCTCCTAGGATCCCCACAGATCAGTAACTGAGGATTAACACTGAGCTCAATAGTGTCCTTACAGATCTTGCCCCAGAATCAAGTATGCCAAGGGGATTGCTAGATATTTTTGAGGTTATCCTACCACCACCACCACTACCACCACAAGTGTTTT